TTTACGGCTGTTGTTCATTTTGTTTGGATGCTTTGCTTTGCTTTTAGAAAACGTAATCAGATATCTGGAGTCCTGGCTTGGCACTGCAGGATAATGTGCTGGACTGCAAGTTTAGTTCAAACAGCAATGTCAGTGGTTCAGATTCACCAACCACTCTTTGGAAACCCTGTACGGGGTTGCTGTGAGTCAGAACCGACACAATGGCACTTAATAACAGGAATAACAATCTGATCTCTATGAGTCAGAAGCCACTCGGCAACACAGAACAACCACAGCAAGTAATTTAAGGATCAGGGACTGTCAGATAAAAATCATCGACTACCACACTCAATAAAGTCCACGCTATGTGGAGAGTTTAGATAATTAAGGCATAGGTGGTGGTTGTTAAGTTACGTTGAGTCAGTTCCAACCCATAGTGATCCTGTGTAGGTTTCCTAGGAACAGCTGGTAAGCTTGAACTGCCAACCTTACTGTTCAAACTGATTTTGCAGTCCAGCACATTAACCCACAGCACCACACAAGGACTCCAAGGCATAAGTTGGAGGTGGGTATTTAAGTCAGCTTTGGACTCCTGGTGATACGATGTGACAGTAGAAGTGTCTGGTAGGGTTTTCTAGGATAATCTGTAAAGGAGCACATCACCAGCCTTTCTTCTTTGGAGCTGTGGCGTGGATTCAAACCACCCACCTTTCACTTAGCTGTTGTGAGAGGTAGCCTTCTCACGTATTTACTCAGTCAACTTAAGGACTGCAAGTCAGTAAGAGTGCTCTGTTGATCCTCCCAGGTGCTTCAGATTGTCAGTCAGTTGTAGCTTTTTGAACTCTAGTCATTGTTTCCTGGATAGCCATACTCAAGGAGATACAGCATCAGAACTTTTGTATTTTAATTGGGAGTCAGTTGATGTATAGCTCTGCTCTTAGGAAATCCTGTATACCACTAAATATATGTTAAAAGGTTGTGCTATGTCAGAAATAGGAGCTCTGGTAGTGTAGTGGTTACGAATCAGGCTGTGAACCTCAGGGTCACCAGTTTGAAACTACCAGCTGTTCCATGGGAGAAAGATGAGGCTCTCTGCTCCCGTAAAGATTTACAGCCTCAGAAACCCTGTAAAGGGTCGCTA